TACTGGAGAGAGGAATCCTCAATAATGTTTAAGAGTGTAAAGGGGTCCTGAGACCAAAAAGCTTGAGAACCCCTAGCTTAGAGTACTGAATGAATGAAGAGTCAGGAAAGCCTGTATTCTGGTCCGATCCTGTGCACTCACTAGCTATGTGACTTACGTGAATCACTTTAAAACTGTTTGGGCCTCAAAATCACCTTCATAATAATGGGGAGGGGGGAGTTAGACTACATTTTCTCTATGGTCTTAGCTCTAATATTCTAAGAGTCGTTGAAAATTTAGTAAATCTACCAGGTTTTCTAAGTCCCTCTGAGTAAATTAAAAATGTCCTATCATAACTGTTTAAATCCTTATACTGTACTTTCTTACTGGGAAATAAATTTAGAATTAAAATAGTCATTAAAGCAAAGGATAAAGAACTGGTTAGTATTGAAATAGTGGTAACCTTATCATTAAGTCCTAGTCGCATTGACTAGCATACAAATTAAATGCTGGGGGGGGGGGGGGGAAGGGGTAGCAGTAAATTATTATTGTCCAATAATAAGCAGGAATTACATTTCTTTAAATTTTAAAAACCAATATTGCCACCTAGTGGCAATCTGAATTTCAAAATACAATTAAGCAAATTACAAACAATAATTTTAAAATGAAAAAGGATAGACAGAAGTATATAGTCTCCATTTTGTATGCAATGAGTACCTAGAAGGAATCATTACAAATTATCAATCCCATTTAAAACAAATAGACTATTTTCTAAGTTAGGGATGAAAATTTAAAAAAAAACACATTAATATACTGTAAATACATACCCAAATTTTTGACTAAAGAGGCAATATAACTAGTGGCCTTTGATATATATAATGTGCAAATTCACTTTGCTATTGAAGAAACTGTTAGAAAGTAAAATGAAGTAAAGAGCTAATTCAGAATCTGCTTTTTGCAACCATTTGTAATTATCCTGAGAATGACCTATCAGAAACATTGATTGGGCACCTCCTATTTCTAGAGAGGTAGCACAGCCCAGGGTATAAAGAGCTAATGGCCTTAGAGTCAGGAAGACTGGGGTGTGACATATACTGGCAGTGTGATCCTTTTTCAAATCACTTAATCTCTCTGCTCTCAGGCTACTTAACTGCCTTAGGTTATTAAATGGTAAAGGAGTTTCAGATCTGAATGAAGTGAAAGGTTTCTCCACACAGGAAGGTCAAGAGAATAACAAAATCGCAAATCTGGAGCTAGAAGGAATAAAAAAGGAAACAACTTCTGTGCTGGTTGCTGTGGGGAATAAAAAGAAATTAAATCAATAGGCTAGAGGCATGTCCAAAAATCATCAGAAATTCAAGGCAACATATAAGTGCCATGTGAGCAGCTCAGAGAATCATTATAGGTTGAAGTGGTAGGGAAAGGGGCTTAAAAGGATGGGTAAGTTCTAAATAAATGGAGATGATGAGAGAGAGGATATTAAGGCCATATAAATGGCAACAGAAATGGTGTGGAGATGGGAAGTACATATGGTATATTCAAGGGACAATAAATAGTTCAGTTAAAGATAAGTCTTTGGTTCATAAGTAAAAGTTTAGAGGTCAAGAAAAAAAAACATTAGAAAGTAATTTAGAGGTTTATTTCCAAATTATCTTAAAGAATTACTTGCCTTTACTTTTGACTCATACCTGATTTTTCTAGTAATAGCAATTATTGCAGTGAGGCTCAGAAAGGTTAAGCAGCTTACTTCTTGTCACACAGCGAACGAATGTCAGGAGCAGGATGTGAACCCCAGGACTTTAAGACTCCAGGTCCAATATTCTATCTACTATGCCATACTACCAGAACTCATTTCAAAACTATTCTTTACCCTTTCCCCCAATTTGAGCTGTTCTATTTAGGAAGCAGCAGGGTATAGAAGAAAGAGTTCTAGATTTGGAGTGAGAGGATCTGAGTTCAAATACTGACTTTGCAATCTTAGACAAATGACTGAATCTTTCTGAGCCTCCCTCAATTTCCTTATCTGTAAAATAAGGAGACTGGACTTGGTGAGGTCTTAAGTCCAGTCTAGATCTAAGTATATTATCCTAAGAGAGCTAACTAACTCTAGATATTATTTAAAAGAATACCTGTATTTCTTCTCATAAAATACAATGTGTCCAACTCTGAATTATTCTCTGTAATGGAGACAACTGTGTATTACTAGTATGGATCAAATGGGGAAAATGGAGGAGAGTGGAATTCATAATCTAAAAAATTAGATAAAGATAAAACACCTTTCTGACTAACCAAGAAGGAAAAAGGAGTTTCTAGTGCATGCTGGGAAGGTAAGGAGCTGAGACTCACTGTCTATGGCCCCCACCAGCACACAGATAATGTATATAATAGAAGGATAGTTGCCCATCAATATTACTGTCAATCAAGGAATTTTTCCTTAGAGGTAAGTACAGTAAAGTGAACTCATTTCAGTTCTGTGAACTCTTGATCAGATGCAATTTGCAAATTATCCAAGTTACTGGTTTCTCCCTTTTCTCCTTAATGCCTACCTTTCCCCCTGGAGAATAGGCATGGAAAATTAAAGGTAAAGAAATCCACACCAGCTAGGCTGGGTACTCATTAATAGTTCAAATGAAATGGTGAAAGTTTAGTGAGAAACGATATAGAAGGCTCACTTAAAAAGAGTTGTTTTTAATATTTATAATAGAGATAAATTAAGCATTAACAATAAATTAATCATGCTTCCTCTGTCTCCTATTCCTGAAGATAATCAAAGTCTGAACTGTAGCCAGGAATTCTTCCTTCTCTTTAAAGTACAATCATGGGTCATATGGTATATAGATAATAGGAGACAGCTAATTTAGAGGCTGCCATGTCCTGAGAAACACTTCCCTGCCCTCCCTACATTCTCCATGGATTTCAATAACTTACAGAGGTCATGAGGTTGAACAAGACAATATTTTTTATTCATTCAACATTTACTAATTACCTAACTACGAAACAACTTGAGAAAATGTTAAAGCATTAAGTACAGCCATTATTCATTGGCCTTTGTATTAATCAATAAAACAGTCACTAAGACTGCTCATTTTTCCATATAGCATCCTCTTCCTTCCTACTACTACCCCCATTACCAAAGAAGAATCCTCTACTGGAATACGTATTTCCTTTGCAAAAGAGGTCTTTGGTAATAAAGCAAAACGAGATAGCATCATGTTGAGTAACTCAAATTCAATACCATCTTGAAACATAACAGTAATGCAGGGGTATTATGTTGCAGAACTTCAGCCAAACATAAAAAAGTATCTTTACTATTAATGCAACACAGTATGACATATTGGATGAGGGATCTGTCTTGGAGTCTCTAAGACCTGGGTTCAAGTCTCACCTCTGACACAAACCTCTGTGAACTTGGGCTTACCCTCTCAGGGCCACAGGCAACTCTGTAAGACTATGAAGTTGCAGAGGAGCTGCTGACCTATATCGGTAGAGGAACTCTCCTCGTCAGAAGTTCCCTAGACCAGTGAAATCATGGGTCTGGCCCCCCAAATGATGTATAGGAGTGTGTATGTTCCTTTCAGAAAAACACACAAAAAGAGGCACTTTGTGACCCCAGGTCAAATGGACAAGTTATAGCTGGTTGAAAGGAGTAATCATAATTACTACTACTACTAATAATAATAATAATAACATTAAAGTACCTAACATTTATATAGAGTCAACTATGTGTCAAGCTTACTACGTGCTAAGCAATTTACAAATGTTATCTCAGGGGGCAGCTAGGTGGTGCAGTGGATAGAGCACTGACCCTGGATTCAGGAGGACCCTAGTTCAAATCCAGCCTCAGACACATAACACTTACTAGGTGTGTGACCCTGGGCAAGTCACTTAACCCCCATTGCCCAACCAAAAACAAAAACAAAAAAAAAAACCGAATGTTATCTCATTTGATCCTCACAACTATCCTGCGTAGTAAGTGCAGGATATAATGATCTATAATGATCTATAATGATCCCCATTATAGAGTTGAGGAAACTGAGGCAGACAAAGGTTAAGTGAATTACCCTGGTGAATTTCTGAGGCCAAATTTGAACTCAGGTCTTTCTGGTTCTATGCCCAGCACTCTGTGCATTATGGAGCCACATAGCTCCCTCAACTAGGCTAACCTTGCCCACTTTAATTTATGAACATATGTGATTTCTTCACATATATCTGTCATGTAAGCATCATATCATAGCCTTAATTATTCCTTCATACCAAAGGATAAATTGAATCGAAGGAATCATGGAGTATCAGTGGCATATCATCTCTCTGTCTGGAAGTTTAGAGGCTTCCTCCTTGTATTCAAATACCACTCCTATTAGATTATAAGCTCCTTGAGGGCAGAGACTGTCTTTTGCCTCCTTTTGTATCCCCAGAGCTTAGCAACAGCTGGTAATCATAGGCACTTAATAAATGTTTATGAATTGTTGATCTAAGGGCAAGACTAGGGGGAGATGTATCAGGGAAGGTATTCTGGCCTCATATTACAAATTAAATTATAATTACATCACAAAGGCCAATTAAAACTAACCAGAAAATTACAAGAAATCAAAACAACCATGTCACCAAAATGAATTCAACTTTTACCTCAAACATGCAAAACTATCTATGAATGAAATGTTAAATATTCTGAATCCCATTATTCAATTTTTATATTTTCCCTTTTAAAATTCTTTTCTACTTCCTTTTACTATACTTCATGCCAAAATTCTTTTCTACTTCCTTTTACTATACTTCATGCCAAAATTCAGACCCAGTATTCTCTTTATACATATATTTCAAAATGTAGTCATACTAAAAGCATTGGTGATAAAGTGCAGAATTTTAAAGAGTCAACATCCAGTACTAAGTGAACACAATATATATCAATCCAGATATTTTAATGAGAGTCGAACATACATGAAAGAACAAGTACTGTAGACAATCCACACATCTGCAACCACATGCAGAACAAACATTCACTCCTTGTGGTTTCTGCCTACCTGGGTAAGATCAGCAGCCTGTTTTAAGATGTTTTGCTCTAATTGCTTTGCTTTCTCTGCATGAAATGAATTACTTTGACTCTGGATGACAAATACAACTTCTTTTAAGTCTGTGAATCAGAAAATAGGAATATTAGGTGAGTTGAGTTTTTTTGGTTTGGTTTTGTTTTTTTTTCCCCATTGCCTGGGTAAACAGGACAAGTAAGAAACCACACAAGGCACCAAACAGGAAATCAATAACTATTTGAATAAAGCTAATAGGTTTGCAAAGCACTATACAATTATTATCTCATTTAATACCCACAACAACCCTAGGAGCTAATTGCTACTATTAACTTCAATTTACAAATGAGGAAACTGAGACTGAGAGAAGATTTACTTGTTCAAGGTCACACACCTAATAAGTGTCTGAGACAGGATTTGAATTCAGGACTTCTTGACTCGAAGTCTACTCCTCTATTTAGTCACTGTACCACTTAGCTAGCTGCCTTGTATAATCAGAATTCCTATAAATCTGCACCCTAACAATGTTCTCCCAAACCTCCAAACCTGACCTAAGAGGAGAGCAGCATCAAGGAAACAATATTACTATACTCAGGCCACGTCTGGAGATGTGACCTGTTCACTTCCTTCTGATTGTGTCAGCCAACAGATACAATGATGTGTGTGTGTGTGTTCATGGAGAATTATCTGCAATTTTTTGAAAATTCACCTGCCTCATGTGGCTGAGAATTTAACTTGACACTGGAACATTGGAACAGGTGCCATATAATCCCCAAACCAGCCATTCCAGGAATCTTTGGGATAACCTGAGGTATACTGCCGCTAAATAATAGTGGTATGTTGCTCCTATCTCCCTAAGCATTCAAAACTTTTCACAAAGATCTCTGTAATCCCTGAGATCTCCCAGAAGTCAAGTAGTCAGGATTAAGTATTATCTCCACGAAAACAGCAATATAAAAATGTGTCAGTACTTGGTGCTTAAGGATGAAATGCTGCATAAAGCACATCTAAAATAAGCCTGATGGTATTTGCCTGCCAAGTAAAATGCCTGGATAAGACAGGTCTACTTGCCTGGGAAGAGAAAAGTCCTTTGTGCTAGAAAGTGAGAGCTCAAAAATTAGTCACTAGGTCCCTGCTGGTTGAGATGGCTGCTCTGACTGGCAGATCAGAGAAATACAATTAGGCATTGTCATCCTTTAACCTGATAATGTAGAAATCAACCAACAATCAACCAAAATGTCATGATTGAACACTTATTGTGGGCCAGGCACCATGTCAGGGGCTATACAAATAGAGAAGTCCCTATCCTCAAGGAGTTTCCACTCTACAGTGATACAATGTTACTCCTAGACCTGGGGCGGGGGGGGGGGAGGGGGCTTTGTTACATCCTTTCAGGAGCTCGCTACCTGCCTTTCAACAATATACTCCTCTATACAGTAACTCCTCCATACACTTTCAACACATTCCTCCATACAGTAAAAGCTAGCTTTTGCTTTTCTCTCTCTTCCCTTCTATAACCTGAATAGGCTTTTCCATTCTTTCTTCTTACAGACTCATTGAAAAGAGAGGTGGGTACAAGAAGTCAGACTTGGTATAAGTGGATGCCAGCACCTGCCCACCCCAACTCAGTCTGACTGAGTACAATAATATTGCTTGGGATATAATTTTATTGAGCTGTCTTTTATTGTTCTGCAGTTCTACCAGCCAACTGCTCCATTTGCTGTTTTGCATATAAAATTCTCATCTAAATTCTAAACATTGCCCCCAAATGGTCTCAGATGAAAACCTAACAAAAATTTAATATGGGAAAATTCCATGTTGATAGTTATATGTAAATACATACAGGTTCTTTATTCAACTCAGCACCCATCTTATTGTCCACGATGATGCAAGGCACTTAATACAAAAGATGAAAGGCACTTAATACAAAGGTATACAAAGATAAGAAATTACCCACTCCCTGTTAAATCTACAATATAGATTTAAATTGTTTAGATATTATAGATTACATGGACATACATAATATGATGTCTAGACATTAAAATATATAAATCTACATGGGTGCTGTCTCTTTTTAATTTCTTTTTTTTTTTTAAGTTAGAACTGAAATGTTATCTCAAATCCATTGTCCCAAGTGTGCCAGCTTCCATTCAGCAAAGCCTGACCATCTTAGCAAACAGGACAGCCACCTTTTGTGATGAGATATGCTTTTGAACCTCAATTTTCTCCCCTGCAAGATGGTCATGCTACTATTTGTCCTATATCCATGACAGTTGTTTTCATCAAAGGAAATAACTCTGAAGTAGCAAATTGCTCTCTTTATACTCATGAGCTACTGTCTATATATTTGATACCACCATTTCTACAGGGTCAGCAGTGAAAGGCATCATCAGTAACAGGCAACTAGACTTGGACTCAGGGAAGACTTGGGTTCCAATCCCACCTCAGATACTTCCCAGCTGTGTGACCCTGGGCAAATTATTCAAATTCTCTCAACCTGAGTTTTCTCGTCAATAAAATAAGGATGCTAGCCTCATTTAGGCTAACCTAGACTTTTTAAGGTCCCTTCCAGTTCTAAATCTAGGCTCTTATGAATGCTACTGCTTTTGTTTTCCAAAGATTTTGTGTTTCCTTTCTTATGTACAGGGCTTGCAAGATAACTTCAGCATTGCTGACAACTACTTTTACAGACAACTTGCTGGAACCCAGTTACAGCCTCAGTGAAATTCATTAAGTGAAAGGGCTTATGGGTCATTTGAGTCTCCCTACAATTAAAAAAAAACTAATCATGGAATATTTGTTTTTCAAAAATAATTCAAATGTTGACACACTTTTCCTCTTCAGGTTGCACTCATGACCCTGCCAGACTTTATCCTCTCCCCTGTCCCAGAAGCCTCTTTACCCTGGACACACAGTCCAACCCTGGCCTTCATTCACATCTTTGAAGTATCCTCAGTCACTATGGCTTCTATCCTCCCAGAACCACCATTTTAAGGAAAAGGCCCAGGACAGCCATGCCTCTCCAGCCTATGCTCCTTACTTTGCCTTCCTCTACACTGGCCCTGGTAACTTCGTGACCAGCCACCTCCCTGACCCTTAGTATTTCAGCTGCCTTTCATGTGTCTCCCTTTTTATGTCTTTCCTCATTGGAATATAAGCTGTTTGAGAGCAGAGACTGTCTTTCTGTTTCTATTTTCATTCCCAGCATTTAGCACAGTGCTGCTGGGTGCATGGTGAAAAAAAAAAAAAATTTAATACATGCCTATCGACTTGACAGTACTCAAGGAAGAGTAATCATTGTTTCTGGATAATTATTGGAGAAAATAAAAGCCATAGCATTCCTCAATTTTATCCCATCACTTCTGATAGCAGTCCTCAGGTTTCACTTAAATAAGAGCCCTCATCATTTACACTCTTCGTTTATCTTCCAACCCTAAGTCCCTACTCAGTAGCTTCCCAAGGAACAGAACCAAGTAAGATAACTGTTATTTACTTCATCCTTTTTCCTGCACTCATAGGATTGTGGATCTAAAGCTGGAAGTGACCAGAGCAGAAGAGGTAATAGAGGCCACACTGTCCCAGAGGTAGACTCCCAATCCAGGGCCAGTGGTATTTCTACCATATCATGCAGCCTTTCTCAATTCATTCCATCGTATTTACTTTAAAAGTTACAACAACTCAAAACACAGCACCATGGTTTTTCCACCAGAAAAAGATACAAGAAGTATCTTGATGAGGAAAGCCATGGCATTCTAGAGAGGGGAAAAGGAAGACACAAAGAAGCATGTAAAAGAAACTGAACACCTAGACTAAAATAAATAATAAATAATAAATAAAATACATAATAAAAATAAATAAACAATAAATATAAAGTAAGTAATAAATAAAAATAAATATTAATAAAGTAAATAATAAAGATGATGCTTGGTCAAGAAAAGGAAATAGAACAGAAAAGAAGAAGGAAATGAAGAAAAAGAAAGAGAATCTTGAGGGAAAGGATCAAAACCCATTTTATAGCTTCATTGTAAAAACTTATAAGGAACAAAGATTTTAAAACCACCAAATTGTCACAGAAAGTCTTCTGGTGAAAAGTAAAGGTCTATTCATATCCACACGCTCACCTTTTACCCAAGTAGTGCAGTGCACAGAAGAGGGAGCATAATAAGGAGAGGAAAGGACTATACTGGGAGTGAGGAGAGAAAAGGGTTCCCATCCCAGGGCTGACACTGGGCAAGGCACTTCACCTCAGGTGACTTTTGAATGTGACTCTGTCATCCACTGTATCAGATAGTCTTCTGTTCCCTGTGTCTTTCCATCAGCTTCATTTTTGTCATTGATAAAAATGGGGCCAAGGAGTTAGCCTTGTGATAATATATCAAAAAATATTTACTCCACACATCAACAAGAAGAAAAGGAAACCCATGCTCTACTGGAAAATTGCAAGATTAAAACATTCAAGTATACAAATATAAACACAAACTTTTCCAGTTACTTACCTAAGTCATTTTTACTTGACGTTCTACTTTTCCCCAAATTCTGTGTTAAAGAAAAAAAGAAAAAAGTCTCATCACATGTGGAAAATATGGTAACACATGGAATAAACATATGCAATCAGACATCACAGCTCTTAGGAAAGGTACTTCTTCTGATCATGAATTTGAACAGGAGAGCTTGGCAATGTTTCCCTTTTCTCACTCACAAAAAAGATCCAGCCCAAAAATGAGATGGAAAGAGAATAGACTCATGAAGAAAAAAACTTAGAAAGATGATAGGATTCAGTGGTATATTTCTCATGACAATGAACTACTTTAATTTTTATATATTTTATCATCTTTGGGGGGCAACGTAATTAATTAAGGCACTCATAAAATAAAATGAAGATTCTTGTTTCATACTTTCTAATATTTTGCGAGTGATAAGGAATCACTAAGGGATCTTGTAGAAGTCATTCCTATTCAGAGAGAATCTGAGGTTCTTTATAACTCAGATTCTGAAAAATAACTTGCCTTCATCGTAAAATGATACGGCGAATGACATGATCTTCATCATCCCTTCGAGTCCTAAATTACATAATCCTAGTAGTTCAGTTTGGCTGCAATATAAAGTCTATGAGTGAGCCAGAGAACCTCAAATGCCAGGTTAAGAAATGTATATTTCAGAAGCAGCATGATAAAATCAGTCTCAACCTGCCATTTAGAAGCTGTATATATGACTGAGCAAATCACTTAACTTCACTGAGCCTTAGTTTCTTCATCTTTAAAATGGAGATAATAATATTACCTCACAGGTAACATTGGGATAATGTCCTAGCTCACAGAGTTGTTGTGAGGATTAAATGAAGTAATGTTTATAATGCATTAAGGTCTTATATGAATGCAAGCAAATATTGTTGTTTGCGAATAAAATACAAAATGTCAACCCTATTTGTGATTTCAATGGCATGAGGAATTTCCAGTGAGAAAAACTCCCTTTACTAATATAAATTGGCTCTGAAACTTATATTCTTGGAGACTTCATTGGGACACTGAGAGGTTAAATGCCTTGGTCAAAGTCATGGTAGCCAGTATGTATGAAAAGCAGCACTTCAACCTAGGTTTACCGGGGTGGCTAAGTGGCACAGTGGTTAGAGCCTTGCACCTAGAGTTAGGAAGATCTGACCTCAAACCCAGCCTCAGACACTTACTAGCTGTGTAACCCTGGGCAAGTCACTTAACCTCTGTCTGCCCCAGTTTCCTCATCTGTAAAATGGGGGTAATAACAGCACCTACTTCCCAGGGCTATAAGGATCAGATGAACTAATATTTGTAAAGTATTTAGCACAGTGCCTGGCACATTGTAAATGCTATACAAATATCAGCTATAATTATGTATAATTACAATTTATGATTATTTGTAATAATAATATAACTGTTATCATCTGAGTTCTGAGAACAGGTCTCTATTGATTATATGACATTGTGTTGGTAGTATATATAGTGGATTTTCTTTCTAATCTGCCTTTGCCACATCATCATCAGCATCATCATGATAGTAACAGCTAGCATTTATATGGCACTTTAAAGTATGCAAAGTATTTTACATATGTTGACTCATTTGATCCTCACAACTGGTGCTATTATACCCATTTTACAGAGAAGGAAACTGAGGCTAAATGACTTGCCCAAGGTTATTCAGCTAGTAAGTGTTTGAGACAGGATTCAAACTCAGGTCTTCCTAATTCCAAGTCTCAAGTTCTATCCACTGTTCTGAGTTCTATTGAGTGTGCCCCATAGCAGCTTACTTCCTCCAGCCTTATGCTGCCATATGTGGTAGTTGGACCTCCAGCAAATATTCCACTAAGGGTCCTTTTGTGTTCAATTTTCTTTACAGACTTCACCAAGACTACATTTATGGATCTTCCCTGACAAAAGTGGGATTTAGCTTGGCAAATGAATGATCATTTAGAGAAGAAAAACAAAGTTTAGTAATGAGGAAACAAACACCTCTATTAAACCTATTTTCTGAAATGACATCTTTGAGTGACTGAGGGTAGGGTTTGGTACAAGATAAATAATAGAATGCCCAGCCTATTGTATGGGGACTGAGACAGGAGTACGATTAGTTATTTTTAAAGCTAGACTATTGTGATAGGTTCCACAAAAGAAATTTAAAAATAACTTCTATGGAGGTTCCAATGAGGTGGTTCACATCAGTTTCAAGGGGAAGATATCAGAAAGAAAGCATTTGGGTAGGAACTTGAAGGATGAGCAGGACATTGACAGATGAGGATATAAGGGAAGGACATTTTAAGCAAAAGGAAAAGCATAAGAAAAAGCACTGAATGGAGAAATTGTAGGGGTGCTTAAGAATAAGAGGTGCATACAATGACAGAATGGGAAGAGACTTTAGACATTATCCAGCTCAACACCCTCATTTTACAGATGGGGAAACTGTGGCCCTGAGGCTAAATGGCTTGTCCAAGGCCACATAGCAAAATTATGGCAGAACCAAGACTAGAACCAGGACTCCTGATCCCCACACTGGTGGTACCCACTTCACTGTACCAAGTCTGACATACTTGGGGAACATGAACTAGTACTGTAAGACTATAGCACAGAATCAGGTGGTGGCAGAGAAGAATTCGTGTTTTAGGTACAAATTGGACTGGCAACCTCTGAAGTCACTTACAATTTTAAGATTCTCTTGACCGAGAGGAGAATTAGTAGGGGATAAAACTGCAAAGATAGTTTTGAGATTATATTGAAGAAGCCCTTGAATGTCAAACTCAGAGTTTTGACATTTTTCTATAAGCAATGGAGTGCTAATGAAATTAGGTAATAGAGCTAAAGGGTTAAACCTTAACTGGGCACTCACTATAACAAGGCAATAGTTTTTACCCTTCCTTAATTGGTTCTCTAGCCCACAGGCTAATCGAAAACTTCCTTTCTCAAACTTTCCACATCTCACCTTCCCACAACCCTCTCAGCTAAGGCTCTTCCTCTTATTAAGAAAATGGAAGCCATTAGCACTGAAATCCCTCTTTTTCTCTTCATCTCAAAAGCCTATGTCATCTTTGGCTCTCTCTTCATTTTCCTCCTGTCTCTGATGATGAGATGGCACATTCTTGGCATAATTCCAAATTGCTTTCCAGAATGCTAGTCTAATTCACAGCTGTCACATCACTGTTCCCTTTTTCCAACACCTTTCCAACACTGATCATTCCCCTCTTTCAGAATCTCTGCCCAATTGCTGAGTGTGAGGTGCAATGCCAGATGTGATGGCCTTTTCTCAATCTTCATCCTTTTTCACCTCTCTGCAGCATTTGATATCAGTGACCACCTTCTCTTCCTAGATACCTTCTTCTCTGGTTCTTCTCTTGCCTGACTGCTCCTTCTCAGTCTCCTTTGTCAGATCATCACCCATGTCCTGTCCACTAACTGCGTTTGCACTCCAAGACTCAGTCCTGGGCCTTCTCTCTTCTCTCTGCCCTCTTCCCTTGTGACCTCATTAACTCTTTTTTAAAAATTATTTACTTATTTATTTTTAGTTTACACCATTCACTTCCACAAGATTTTGAGTTCCATCTCATCCCTCCCCCAACCCTGAGATGACATGCATTCTGAATACCCCTTCCCCTAATCTGCCCTCCCTTCTATCTCTCCCTCCCTTCTCTTATCCCCTTCCCCTTCAATTTTCCTGTAGAGCAGGATAGATTTCTATACCCCATTTCCTATATATCTTATTTCCTAATTGCATGTGAAAACTATTTTTAACATTTGTTTTTAAAACTTTGGGTTCCAAATTTTCTCCCTTCCTCTCTCCCCATCCACCCTCATTGAGAAGGCAAGCATCTCGATATAGGTTGCAGATGTATAGTCATGCAAAACACTTCCACAGCAGTCATGTTGTGAAAAACTAACTCTATTTCCCTCCATCCTATCCCGCCCCCCCTTTATTCTATTCCCTCTTATGACCCCGTCCCTCCTCAGAAGTGTTTGCTTCTGATTACCCCTCCCCCAATCTGCCCTCCCCTCTGTCATCCCCCTGCTCTCTTGTCCCCTTCCCCCCACCTCATTAACTCTTATGGATTTAAGTACATCTCTGTGCAAATAAATCCCAGATTTAAGTAACCAACCTTAATCTCTCCTCAGCTCTAATCCTGTATCACCAACTATCTACCAACCATTTCAAACTATATGTCCAATAGACATCTCAGATTTAACACGTCCAAAGCCAAACTCATTTCCTCTCCCTTCCAATCCACCTTTCTTCAAAACGATTTCTTTCAAGGGCATCATCATCCTTCCAGTCTCCCCGATTCCCAAAATTCAGCATTATCTTCAGCTCCTCGATCTTCCTTACCCTACCTACCAGTTGTCAAGTCCTGTCATTTCTACCTTCACAATATAGCTCTCTCATCTGACATGGCCACAAACCTAGTTCAGGGCATCATCACCTCTGGCATCATCACCAGTCCTACACACCTGTCCCATAGATGCTAATGTGATTTGCCTTAAGTACAAGGCTGACTATGTCACTCCTCTATTCAATAAACTCCAGATGCTCCCAATTGCCTCTAGGATACAATAACGACTCCTATTTGGCTTTTAAAATCCTTCACAATGTAGGCCACGTGTACATTTTAAGACCCCATTCCTTCCTCTCCTACCCATACACTATGGTGTAGTCAAACTGATCTTGCTTTTCCTCGTATGTGGCTCTCCATTTCCCATTTGCCCATCTTGGCTCTGGCCATCCACCATGCTGAAATACATTCTTTTTCCTTCAAGACTCAGGTCAAAAACTACTAACCACATCTCTTTACCCTTACCTCCAACAAGTGCTAACACCATCCATCTTTAATCCCTCCATAAACTAGGATTCATTTTATATATACTTAAGCTAATAAGTATGTATGCTTATATATTTACATTTACATTTCTTTTATATATACTTATATATACAAGTATGTGTTGTATCCTCCAATAAAATATGTTATTTGAGGACAGGGGTTATTTAATTTTTGGTTTCGTTTAATGTATGCTTGGCAAACAACAGATACTTAATAAATGCTTGTTGATGTTTTTAGGGACTTTTCCTCATATCCAAAAAATGGGGATTATGGAATCATAGAATTTTAAAACAGAGAGGGACCTTAGAGATTATCTAACCTCATTTTACACTTAAGAAAACTGAGGTCCGTAGAAGTTGATGTCTGAGGCAATACAACTAATTAGTGACAGAGACAAGCCCAGACTCCCAGTCTCCTTACCACCAATTCAGTGTTTTTTCTACTATACCATAAAAACAACACCTGTCCAACCTACCTAGCAGAAATATTGGTGATAATACATGATAGTAGATGTGAAACTACTTTGAAAATAAATTGAAAGTGATATATGAGTATAGGGCATCTCACCATCATAAAGTTGAAAGGGAAGACATGTCTATGACTGTTTCTAGACTACATAGCTTAGACATAGCATAGTTATCAGGAGATTGGATATTTAAGCCAAATTTAAATGAACTTTGCACCAAATACAACTAAATACAAAAGAAAAACTCATCAGTTTAAAAAAAACCTAAATTTTTTTGAAGTGCTAGAACTCAAAATTTTTAAAGGCTTAGTCCATATTGTCCTTCCTCTCTCCCTGTCCATATTTTAATGGATGGATGAATTGGGCAAAATGGAATGGAATCAAAGTGAACCCAAGTATTTTCCTCCCCAAAGAGAAAATTAGACTAAACAAATAAATTGACAGAACATTAAAAATTCAGTCTCTGGCTTTCTCAGGAAAAGATACAGTTCTTCCTAAGAAGAAACACATGACTTGTTTTATTATCTCAGCTGCAGTTATGTTTCTCATCTCGACTATTAATATCAATCACAAATGTAGGCACTGTCAGGTTTTTGTAGGTCAGTCATAATGTAGTTCAACTTCACACAGGGTATATTATTAATGTAACTATACTGCACATGGTTCCTTCTCCTGGTGGGAAAAGCACAATTCCATTAGACAGGTTTTGGAGTTCGAGGTTTTTTGTGTTAAGAGATGGTAGATATGGTCATTTGGAACATCAAAGTCCACACGTATCCCTGTAATATCTAGTTTGGAAATTCATCAAAAGATAACATTATTTATCAAAATCATCAAGCATTTTATCTGAATGCTGTTTGAGAAGGGAAGTAGATGAACCTGACTCTTCTCCTCAGTCATTAACACTAGAATAAAAGTGAGGGTTTGAACAAGCAAATTATGCAGGATGCTTGCATCTAACACTCCAGATAAACAGTCATTGGTTTGCCACTACAAAAACAAAACAAGTCCATGAGATCTGAATTCTCTCTGTTGCCTTAATTGCTTGGCTTTGATAGAGGGCTCAGGGCATGCATCCCATATTATAACCTCAAGAAAATTTAACCAGCATTTACCACTGTGATGTCAAGTTAGCAGAGTGGGTTGTGGACATGGGATGAAGAACTGGGGGATCAGAAGAGGTGATGCAGAGCCACAAGTGTGGAGTGAAGGAAAAGTATAGGCTCATAGGCATAGCTGGGAATCAGGAACCAGCCAACCACCTGGAGTAAAGGTTCACTTAAGTACTAATGGGAAATAGGCCAGGAATCCACATACTCAAGCAGTTTGAAGGACCTGGTAAATGCTAAAAGGTCAATATAAGCAATAGATTGGGAATCTGGAGAGGCAATAGGAGCATCAGGTCACCTCAGGCAAGGTGTCACGGACTGCAAGTGTATCACACAACCTGCTTTCTTCTATCAGAAAGAAAAGGTTTTTGCCATTTGTTGTTCAGTCTTTTTTCAGTCATGTCCAACTCTTCATGACCCCATTTGGGGTTTTCTTGGCAGAGATACTGGAGTGGTTTGCCATTTCCTTCTCCAGTTCATTTTACAGATGAGGAAACTGAGGCAAACAAGTTGAAATGACTTGCCCAGGGTCACACAGCTAGTGTCTAAGGCCACATTTGAATTCCACTGTGCCACCTGACTGCCTCTCCTTAAAGGCCCACTGTTTGAATGAACAATACTTTTAGAATGAATTGAATATCTTTGGATGAAAGATGCTATGAAAATATAGGAAAACATTACATATTAAAAGTGGAAGAAAATATAATGTCCTGATTCAAAATTAAAGATCACCTGAAACCCACCAGTGAACATATGTGGAACTAATCTCTAAATTCATTTAATAAAATTTTAATTCCCTGATATTGAACTATAGGTAGCATTTTTAAATCCATAACAAATACGCCTCATTATTACTAAAGTAATTTGAAGACTGCTTTTAATTATAGCAGTGCAGAATTTCTTGGGAGATTCATACTCTATTCAGTTTGAAAGGGATATGACACTGGGGTTACTAAGAAACATTCCATTAAAAATTCTTTTATATAGCCAAGAATCAGTCAGCTGTAGTAGTGTACTCCTATAATTGCTGCTGGTGGTGGAGGCAGAGGCTTGAATTTGGAAATCCTGAGCTGCATGAGGCTAATACTGAGTGGGCACTAGCACTGAGACCAGGAGCAATATGGTGAGTTCCAGAGAGGGGCACAGTAGATAGAGTGCTAGACCTGGAGTCAGGAAGACTCATCTTCCTGAGTTCAAATCTGACTTCAGACACTTAGCTGTGTGACCCTGGGCAAGTCACTTTACCCATTTTGCCTCAGTTTCCTCTTCTGTAAAATGAGCTGGAGAAGGAAACTGCAAACCACTCCAATTATCTTTGCCAAGAAAACCTCAAATGGGGTCACTAAGAGTGGGACACAACTGAAAAATGACTGAGCAACAACAGGGAGCAAAGGACCTCTAAGCTGCTTAAGGAAAAGCAAATGGCCCAAACAGGAACGACTGAATAGGTTAAAGCTTCCATGTAGATAAGTAAGAAATTGGGCCCACAAGTGGCTGCTGCACTTCCAGCCTGGGAGAGATAAGGAGAACTAGTCTTGAAAAAGAAAAAAATACCAATTATGTTTTAATTAATGACAAAGCAAACCATGTGTTAAATGCCATTTCTTTTCCATTAGGTACTAAACTGATACATCACAATGCCCTCATGTGAAAATTATTAGCAAAGTAAGATTTTTAAACAGTGATCAAAAGGGCAAATTAATAAAATCAAAGCAATTTAATCAATAAAAGAGTGCAATCACATCTTCTTGGGTTTGATTTGGTTTTTACACATGTTTCTGTATAGTCTAAGGTGTTCTATTTCTAACCTAGCAGGACCTAACGTAATAACTCTGAGACTTTCTGCAGCTCTTCCCTGCCTGAAACATACCCTAACACTGCCATCTTCAAAATGGCAGCCACTAAAGACTTGCAAAGCCCCTGTGATGTAGTAGCACCTATATTTTATAGGCTGAAAAAAATTAAATGAGAAAGTAGTAACACCTATATTTTATAGGCTGAAAAAAATTAAATGAGAGAGTAGGATAAGCTTATGGGTTTTTTAAACATAGTATCAAAATTAATATCAAATTCCTGAAATTCCTGGGTATGTGGAATCAACTATTTTTTATAATGAATTTCATACTTGTACATGTTCTTCTATTATGGAAAGAAACATTTTAAGAGAAGCATATCTATAGACATTGAGAGTGCTGCCATGGGTTCAAATTCAACAAATATTTTGTTGTTCAGTCGTTTCAGTTATGTCTGACTCTTCATGACCCCGTTTAGGGTTTTCTTGGCAAAGATACTGGAGTGGTTTGCTATTTCCTTCTCCAGCTCAATTTATAGAAGAGGAAACTGAGGCAAACAGAGTGAAGTGACTTGCCCAGGGTCACACAGCTATTTAGTGTCTGAGGCTGGATTTGAATTCAGGAAGATGAGTCTTCTGGACTCCAGGCTTGGCACTCTAGACACCGAAACACCGAGCTACCTTCAACGAACATTTACTAAGCACATATTCTACAATGCTTTATGCTAGTTAATCTATATAGATAAAAGACTATCCATTATTTTTTTTAAATAAATGGAACATTTACTAAGAGGCAAATAGATGAAGTGTGCTAAAGGAGAAGGATTATTGACTTGAATTCAGGTCCTGCATATGGCACCAAAACCTTGGACAAGCCCTTTCATATTTCTAAGCCTCAGTTTTCTCATCTTTAAAATGAAGCACTTGAACTTGAGATGATCCCAAATGATCCATCCATGTCTAACATTCTCTGACTTCATAAGTTTTCTAATCTCCTTTTCACATTAGTCTAAGAAAAAAAGCATCCTCATCTTCTGTTCTATGAAGAATTTCAGACAAAGAGAAGATTTTCACAAATAGAATTAGTACCTGTGAATTCTTGGCATCTTTCTTTACATCTTCAGCAGCCACGGCAGAAGCTAGGGAGAAAAAAAAAACCATTCATATTTCTTCATTAAAATTAGCAATTAAAATAATTTTCATATTCATCAGAATTAAGCTTAAAAACTGAATCACCAATATTATTTACTGTGACATACCCTTATTCTCTCTGTTTTTTGGGTTGTTTAAAAAATAAAACAAAACAGTGGGCAATTTGACATTTAAATAGCTGCTTTGCTGCAGACAGGCACTTCTGTTTTCCTTTATCTCTGAAACTAAAATTATTCATTGATGTGAAGCCAACACACCTTGGCTCCTAAGCAAAAATAAAATAATATTTTTAAAATCCTGCATACACGCACACACACACACACACACACACACACACACACCCCAAGCAAGTCTACCACTAAATTTACATAATAGAATATAGCATATACCTATTTAAGCTATTAAAGCTGCACTAAAACTTTTGAGATACCCTATACATCCACACTCAAAACAATCACACTAAATACTCCCATGTAATAAACCTTTATTTCAACACCTTCTTAATTGAACAAGAATTCTTCACACTGCAGATACAATAATATTCAAGCTTTCACAGACCGTGCCAGAACATGGCATTCAATAGTACTCAACCTGGAGCAAGCTTTCAGTTTTCTGGAACAGTGGGGTTAGCAGGGCAGTCCAGTTACAGCTAACAGACAAGGAGAGGATAGTTAAGATGCCCTTAGCAGAGTGATGCCAGGGCCAAAGGAAGGGAATGAATTAAAAATTATTCCTCATTTAGAATGATGAAATAGTTTGAGTCAGAGCCCATAAATATATCGAGATGCCCCTAGAGAAACATCTAGGCTCTGCATTAAAGAGAATCAGGATGAAGACATTCAACTTATGCAAAATGCTTTGGGGAAAAAAAGGAAGCCAAATGAGGATTCAAACAAAGAGTTAGGCAGGTAAATGGAACAAGTAACACCTTTTCCCAGAAGGACTGCGGGTGATTTGCATAGTTCTGCCTTATCCTGCTAGAAAGTAAGCATTTCTACAGGGTCACAGCAACTGAACAGATCACAGTGGCTGGGTTAGTCCTACTCGAAAGCAAACCTTTTCTTCCATCCCTCTCACGTCCTTTCTGTTCCCCTTTTCCTCCTACTGCCCAATTCCGCTCCTGCCGACACCTCCCTACTCCACTCTGATGTGTACTAATCGACTTGTGTCCGGTTGGATATTTACCACATCACATTTCGGTGTGACAGAATAATCAGATAAAACCATCATTCATACTGAGATACAGTAAATTATTAACTGAGTGATAGGAATTTATCAAGCACCTATTCTGGTGATGGACAACAGGGTCTGAGAATACAAAGAAAAAAATGAGTTCCTGCCCTTTAGAAGCTTATATCCAATTGGGAGAGACAGCACGTACCTATTATATGTATACAAGCATACACAAAACCAAAACACAAGGTGTTGTTGTTTTGTTTTTATTCCTCCTTAGTTTTGGAAGAGGATGAGTGACAACACCAGTGATGTCTTGACTTGCTCGTGAATTAGATTTAAGTGAGGCAGTGCTGAGCAAAGTCGTCAGCCTCACTACCTCTTCCTGAGTCATTTTGAAAGGGAGGGCACCAGCACTTGGTAGGGGGTTGTCAAGGAAAGGTTTCACATAGAAGATGGTGCTTGAGCTGAAACCTACAAGAAAACAGAATCTTGAAGGCAGAGAGGGGATTGATGAGGAAGGAGGGCACTCCAGGCACGGGGACTAGCAGTGTAAAAGCATTAGATGGAAGATGGAGTTATCAGAAAAACAAGAAGAGAGCCAGTGTGACTGGACGGTTGAGACTTGAAAGAAGAATGCTGTATACAATAATGAGCCTGGAGAGGTAGACTGAGGTCATGTTGTGAGGGACTTTTTAAAAAACAGAGGAAGAAAACAACACTAATAAACGAAACTCCAAAATTAGGGAAAGGAGTAGTAACAAACAGGGAGAGAGGGTAGTTTGAAGGTGAAGAGAAGAGAGCTAGGAGAAAAAGGGTTGCTTTAAAATAAATGAAGCTAAAATAACTGATGAGACACAGTACTCTATCTACAGAGGAAGAGGGGAGTAAATCCTAATTTGAAAGTAAAAGACAACATTAGGGACAAATGGAAGAAAATATAAACCCCGCATAACTTTACATTTAAATGGATTAAGAAATCCATTAATTTTTTTTAAAGTGACAGATTGGATAAGAAAAGCCCCAGGATCTGTTGCTTACAAGAAACATATTGCCTTTTTTTTTAAAAGACATACACAGAATAAAAATGAGGGGCAAGGGGAAGGAAAAAAACATATTTTATCTTAGAGGCAATAGGAAGCCACTGGTAGTATTGAGTAAGGGAGTAATATAGTCAGACCTGCTCTTAGGAAGAATTATTTTGGCAGCTGTATGGTGGATGGACTGGAGTAGGGACAGATTTGAGGCAAAGGGACCAATAAATTAGAAGGCTGCTGCAATAATCCAAGCAAGAGGCAATGAATGCCTGAACTAAAGTGGTGGTTGTGTGGCTGTGTGAGTAGTGAGAAGGGAATACTGTGAAGGCATATGATTGTATATATGACGTGAGGGGACAGGAAGAAGTTGAGGATAACAAAAAGGTTGAGAATTTAGGGGCAGCTGGGAGACTGAAAAGATGTTTTAAAATCAAAAGAGGTTTGGGTTTGGATGGAAAGAGTTCTGTTTTTGACAAGTTGAGATGGAAATGGCTATGGCCCTTCCATTTGAAATGCAGGCAATCGGTAATACAGGACTGAAACTCAGAGAGAGAGAGAGACTAAGCCTAAATAAATAAATACTCTCTGCTAATGACACCCAGATTTATGTTATCTAGGAGATGCAGAGGTTATCAAATGAATGCATAGAGAAAGAAACAGGAGCCAGGACAGAGCTTTGGAGTATAGCCATAGGTAAGAAGCATGATGTGTTAGCAAAAGAGGTTGAAAAGGAAGTCAGACAGTTGGTGGAGAACCAGGACTTGAGGCAATTGTGCCATAATGGATAGAGTTTTAGATCTGGATTCAAATCCGTCCTCAGATACTTACTAGCTGCATGACCTTGGTTAAGTCTAACCTCTCTTTGCCTCAGTTTCATCAAGTGTAAAATTAGGATAATAACAACATTTACCCTAGAGGGTTGTTGTGAGGATCAAAAGAGACAATATTTGTAAAGAACTTGGCACAGTGCCTACCATGTAGTAGGTGCTATATAAATGCTTACTCCCTTCCTCTCCCTTACCCCCATTCCCCAGGACTACTGTATACTGTACTAAAGCTGTCACCACTGTCAAGTCAATTTGCATTTTAACAGAGACAGGAAGCCTTTAGCCAAAATAATCTTTATTTGCAGAAATTCAGGCATCAGTAATATAGACATTGTTACCCTTTTCTTATGGATAAGGAAACTGAGATTGAAAGAGGTTATATGATTTGCCTATCACCTGGAAGGGATCTCAGAAACTATATAGTCCAACCCTCTCAGGTTAGGGGAGTTGCATGACTTTCCTGAAGTAGGATGGTGACTCTTTGTGACCCCGTGAACAAAATCATGTCAATGCTGTCCATGGGGTTTTCTTGGTAAAGATGCTGGAATGGTTTGCCATTTCCTTCTCCAGTGAATCATGCAAAATAAGATTAAGTGACTTGCCCAAGGTCACATGGCTAGTAAGTGTCAGAGGATGGATTCGAATTCAGGTCTTCCCAAACTCAAGGCCCAGCTCGCTATCCAGCCACCTAACTGTCTCTTACAGGATGTTTACTCATGCCTATTTATTAGCTACATTTATGGTACCAGACTATACTCAAAAAGGTATCATAAAAATGGTTAATAAACATACATATTATATAGAAAAATAATATTGCTATGTGAACAACTTTGTTCAGTATCATAAATTGCTTAAAGTTGGCTTTTCAGATATTGGGATGTTCTGCCAATTTGAAGCATCTAAGGACTATGGTTAAGCAAATATTTGTTTCTTATTGATTTTGCTCCTTCACAAGATTTTTCAAGGAGTAGCTTTGTAATTAAGATACTGCACTTTCTCTGTATTAAATTTTTATCCATAATAGGGAAATATAATTCTCTTAATTTAACATCCACAGTGATTCATCATCTTATAATTAGCATTCACTCTTACTTCACTGGGGCAGGTCAAGTTAGCAGTAAAAGAAAGAAGTCTCAACACAATATATGACTGGAGGTTTCTCAAGAATGTGTAGTGAAGAATGCTCTCAGAAAAACCTGGAAAGACTTGCATGGGCTGATGCAAATTGAAATGTACTGTGTACAGAGTAACAGCAATATTGTAAGATCAGCTGTGAATGACTTAGCTGTTCTCAGTAATACAAGGATCCGAGATAGCTCTGAAGGACTTATGATGAAAAATGCTATTCATTCCCAGAGAAAGAACTGAATGTATCTGAATACAGATTGAAGAATACTTTTTTTTTTACTATATTTTTCTTGAGTTTTTTTGGTTTGTGTTTTCTTTCACAACATGACCATTATGGAAATGTTTTGCATGGCTACACATGTATAACCTATATCGAATTGCCTGCTTTCTCAATGTGGGGGGAGGGGATGTAGAGGAAGGAAGGGAGAGAATTAGGAACTCAAAGCTTTAAAAATGAATGTTAAACATTATTTTTTTATGTAACTAAGGAAAAATAAAATGCTAAATAAATTTTTAAAAAGAAAAAAAGAATGTGGGCAAAGGGGGGCAAATTTTTATCTTTCTTGGAGTGGGTTTCTATTAATCACTTGGCAAAGCCTCATACAAGTTCATTCTGTTATCATTTGTTTGATGATGCAATTCTTTTATAGTGCATTATCAAGAATGGAAAATTGACTAACAATACAAATGAATTTTCCAAATGTTCCCCTTCACAATGAAATAATAGAAATAACAACCCCTCACTTAGAAAAGGCTTAACTTAGTCAAGTGAAATTGCTGCTACCTAAAAATATATATGCCTTTAACTGAAATAGCCTTCCA